ACGTCTTTAATCCCAGCACTCAGGGAGGCAGAGGCAGGCGGATCTCTGTGAGTTGGAGACCAGCCTGGTCTACAAGAGCTAGTTCCAGGACAGGCTCCAAAACCAGAGAAACCCTGTCTCGAAAAACCAAAAAAATGAAAAAAAAAAAAGTTAGCTGGACTGTTGTCACCAAAACCACACCAGTAGGCTGTGGCTGTGGCTGTGGCTGTGGCTGTGGCTGTGGCTGTGGCTGTGGCTCGCCTAGAATGTTCAATGCCCTTCTACTCACTGTGCTACCAGCTCTTTGAGCAGCTCCTGACACTTCTCACTATACAGTATCAAGATATATTCCATTGGGCAAGTCATTAATCCCAGCACTCAGGAGGCAGAGGCAGGTGGATCTCTTAAGTTCCAAGGCCAGCTGAGTCTACAAAATGAGTTTTAGGACAGCCAGAACTACACAGAGAAACTGTGTTTAAAGACAAACAACCCCACACACACAGCCAAAAAAAAAAAAAAAAAGATCTATTTCATAAAAGGCTGCTCATCTCAGAAAAGTCTGAACACTAGGACATTTTCAAGCTCATACCAGTAGATACAAGTGTTCCAAAATTGTTTCTACCATCAAGTTCCATTAGCAACAAATACAGACAGCTTTCTTCTAAGCAACAGTTTCTCTTAGCTTACTCTTCTGCACAAGTTTGCTAACATTAGGGTGAAGTCCCAGTGTTGACACTGTTCAAATAAAAAACAGTACCTGTAAGAAAACGCTTCAGCCTCCCCAGCCCATCACACAGCTGCTTCTGCTGACGACGATGACATCGACGACTACCCTACAGGCAGCACCGTGCTCTAGGATGAACACTTTCCATCCGTCACTCATCCTGAACACCAAACCAGAAACACTAACTGTTCTCCTAGCTGGCATCCTTTCTATGACCTCCGTGCTAAGCATCTGCCCCTCAGAAATTAATTAAGTTTCCTCGCAATGATCTATTGGTGGCGTGTACCCAAAGCCACTTTGACCTCGCTGGTGAACTCTGAAGGACTTCATCTAGTTTCAGACTCAGAAAAGCAACTCTGTGTCTTCTTCCTTAAAGAAATACCAAGGAAAGTTGGGTATGGTGACTCACTTCTAACTCAAGCACTGAAGGGGCTGAGGCAGGAGGATCATGTTCCAGACCAGTCTATACCACATAATGAGACCCTGTCTGAAAAACCAAAGTGCAAGGGGTGTAGAGATGGCTCCCAGCAGTTCAGACTACTGAGGCTCTGTTCTAAGAATCACATGGCAGCTCACAACCACCTGTCAACTTTCCAGTTCTAGGAATACAACACGGTTCTGCCTTATTCTCTCGCTTTTTTTTGTTTTTGTTTTTCGAGACAGGGTTTCTCTGTAGGTTTGGAGCCTGTCCTGGAACTAGCTCTTGTAGACCAGGCTGGCCTCAAACTCCCAGAGATCCGCCTGCCTCTGCCTCCTGGAGGCGCCACCTCCACTGCCCCACCTATCCTGGCTTCTTACAGGCATCAGGCACAACATAAATACATGTAGGCAAAACACTCCAACATATTTTTAAAAAAAATCTTGCTGCTGGTGGTGATAAAGGCACTCATTTAATCCTAGCACTGGGTTATTATTATTCTTTTGGTTTTTCAAGACAGGGTTTTTTTCTATAGCTTTGGTGCCTGTCCTGGAACTAGCTCTTGTAGACCAGGCTGGCCTCAAAACTCACAGAGATCCACCTGCCTCTGCTGGGATTAAAGGAGTGTCACCACCGCCCACAGGCCTTTCTTTATTTTTTTTTTTTTTTTTTTTTTTTGACTCCTAGCACTGGGAAAGCAGGGGCAGACTGGTCTCTGTGCTTAATATCTGCCTGGTCTATGTAGTGAATTTCAGGACCACCAGGACTACATAGAGACCCTGTATCACACACCCCCCCCCAAAAAAAAAAAACAAGAAAGGAAACACAAAACTGACAAACAAGCATAAGATAGATAGATAGATAGGTAGGTAGGTAGGTAGGTAGGTAGATAGATAGATAGATAGATAGATAGATAGATAGATAGATAGATAGATAGATAGATAAAAGATACAATGTACAAGTAACAAAATGCAGTGCTTCTTGGACAAGGGCATAACTTCGTTGAGCTCTTGCCCAGCAAGTACAAAGACCTCGGTCCCATTCCCAGTACGGCACATGCCTGTAATCCCAGCACTGGGGAAAGTAGACAGAATCAGAAGCTTAATGCCATCCTTGGCTACCCAGCAAGTTCCAGGCCAAAGGGCCAAGAAACCTCCGGATGCCTCTATAAAGACTGATTTTCCCATTCAAACTCTTGGTTCTAACGCTTTGATCTGTCTTTTCGTCCTTACTGCGAGCGTCTGAGCTGGAGGTCTCCCTAGGTGGCCTACACCTTAGCGGTGGATGCACGGGTCCAACCAGCTGCACAAGGCTCCTGTCCACCGCTACCACTGGCTGTCACTTTGATCTTAAACGCTTTTTAAAATCCAAGACAAGAGTAAGTAGAAAACGGTCCAACGGTGGACGACATCTCAACAAAATTTTGTTAAGGGAAAAGGCGACGCAGGTAAGGTGGAACGGAATAAAACCGCGGAGTGGGAAGGCTGGGGAATGAGGAGGCGGGAACTGCGTTAAAATTTAATATCATCTCACCGGTCATTCCAATCGTCCCCTCGCCGTCTTTCATCTCTTTCCCGGGAACGGTCATAGTCGCTGCGCTCTCTTCGAAATTTGTCCCTTCGTCTCCGATCGTATTCGTCATCACTGTCACCCATTGTGCTGTCAGAGGAGGCCTGGGGCCCGGCGGCGGGCGCACACGGTGATGATGAACAAGGAGGACCAGAGGAGGGACAGTCCCCCGGGGGCAGCACGCCCGCCTCCCTCCCGCCGAGGCCGGCCTGCCATCCCGGGCAGGGCGATCGCTCCGACAGCTTCACTGTCCCCAGGGGTTCCCCCCTTGTCCACCCCGAAGCCCCCGGGCACAGTCCTCTGCTTCCGATCCCGCCGCCCGGGCCTTTCCTTCCCCTCCCCCACCTGGCAGCGGTCGGGTCCGTTGGAAGCGCGCGCCGGCGGCGGCGGGCTTGTTTTCCGGGCGGACCGGAACGCGCGGGGATGGCTCGCAAGGAGGGTTGGAAGGAAGGAGGACGGGGCGATGCTCGGCCCGGAGGTCGAAAAGGAGGAGGGCGAGACGGCTGAGGGTGAGGCGGGGGTCGCGAGCGGAGTCGGAGCCGCCCCGAGCTGCGCTTCAAACTACAAACAAGCCCCCCGGCCAAACTTAAACTAAGAGAGAGAGAGGACGAGGGGCTGATGGGAAAAGGGTGGAGACGCGGAAATCTCGCGTTGTTTTACGACAAAAATCCCTCAAGCGCTAGGAGCTACGGAAGCTGAGCGCGGCCAAGCCGGGCCTCCCCTAAGTCCTCGTTCCTTTTGCACACGAGGGGAATGGAGATGGAGAATTTCGCTTCCTCTAACGTCTTCTGGGTCGGAACAAGTTTGCATCCAAGAGTTGCCAAAAACCCTGGGCTATTGCACCTCTTGACCTCTTCAAGGGTGCATTTGCCCTCTCCGCGCTATGGATGGGGTTGAGGGCAGTGGATGTCTAGGCAATAATGAATGCATAGGAGCAACCATTTTAAAGGCATCTCCTCCCACCATTTTCTCCTTCCGCAGAAATCCACGGTATGTGCTACCTGCAAAACGCGCTCTTCCTGCTTTTCCTGTACAGAGGCGCCTAATCCTCGTGCAGACCGTGCAAATCTCAGTTTTAGTGCCCAATACTTTAATGGAGAAGCTGTACGTAGCAGTCAAAACAACCGCCAGGATCTACTAAGCCCGTCTCAGTAAATAGAATGCCAAGCTAAAAAATTAGGCAGCCTTGCTCCCAGCAAGAAAACCTCAGCATGTAAAAAGATGTCTTTACAATAAGGGGCATTTTAAAATGTAGTACAGTCATGTTGGCACAGGCCTGTAATCCCAGCTACTCAAGAAGTTGAAGCAATGCCGGGCGGTGGTGGCGCACGCCTTTAATCCCAGCACTCGGGAGGCAGAGGCACGCGGATCTGTGAGTTCGAGACCAGCCTGGTCTACAGAGCTAGTTCCAGGACAGGCTCCAAAGCCACAGAGAAACCCTGTCTCGAAAAACAAAAACAAAAAACAAAACAAAACAAAACAAAAAAGTTGAAGCAAGAGAATCACAGATTCAAAGACTGCAGAACAAGTTCAAAGCCAGCCTGAACAATTTAGTGAAACCCTGTCACAAAAACATTTTCCGCCGGGCGGTGGCAGCACACGCCTTTAATCCCAGCACTTGGGAAGCAGAGCAGAAGCAGGCTGATCTCATTGAGTTCAAACCCAACCTGGTGTTGAAGAGCTACAGGACAGGTTCCAAAACTACAGAGAAACCCTGCCTCAAAAAGAAAAAAAAAAAAAAAAAAAAGAGAAAAGAAAAAGAAATGAAAAACATTTACAAAAGGGTCTGGAAAAAGGTTCAGTGATTCAGAGAACTTCCTAATCTTGCAGAGAACCAGTTTCATTATGTCTGGTGGCTCACAGGTAAACTCCAGTTCCTGGGGATCTGAGAGCTCTCCTGGACTACAAGGGCACTATGCTCAAATGCCCATATACCCACACATAGGTACACACACACATAATTTTTTTTTCCTTCTGTTTAGCCCTGGCTGCCTTGGAACTCACTCTGTAGACCAGGCTGGCTTAGAACTCAGAGATCCGCCTGCCTCTGCCTCCCAAGTGCTGGGATTAAAAGCGTGCACCACCATGCCCAGCTCATCCACACATAGTTTAAGATAAGGGAAGCAGTGGCAGTAGATGGCTCGAGTTAGAATGCTTGCCTACCATATGAAAGAACCTGGGTTTAGGAAGTAAGAACCGAACAAGGAGTGAGGGAGGCTGGGGGTACAGTTTAGTGGTAGGGCATTTGCTTAGCATGTATGTCTCCCTGATCCATCCCCAGCACCCTCCCCAAAAAAGTAGCCAGACACAGTGGTTCATTCCTATAATCTCAGCATTTGAGCAGTGAAGACAAAAGGATCCAGAGTTCAAGAACAGCCTCGGCTATCTCAGCTGTGTATCAGATTCAAGGGTAGCCTGGGGTACATCAGAACTGGTCCTTAATAAAAAGCACTTCATGTGTCTCTAGCCTGTGTCACAACATCACAGTTAAATGCGCTGAGAAGGTCAGCGTCACTGGTAAACACAGGACCTGCTATACCGACTCCCTTTGAAAAACAGCAAAGAAAACTGAAGTCAGCTAGCATGTCAGGTGCATCGGCTCCTTCCAGGGCAAGACCAAGACGAGGAAATAGGCCTATTTCTATATTAAAGGTGTGTGCCACCAAGCCTGGCACTGGGGTTCCTGCATGAGAACCGTGGCTGGTGGGCCCTGACCTGCAACATGGCTTGCCAAGTCTGCTGTCAGAAGACTGAAGAACTGAAAGAGCAGTAGCAATGGAACCGTTTGAGGACTCCACAGCCTACAATAAATGGGCTAATCAACGATGTAATGACAACGGAAGCATAGGATAGCAGGATAGCAACCCGGCACGGTGGCACACACCTTTAATCCCAGCACTCAGGAAGCAGAGGCAGTCAGATCTCCATGAATTCGAGGCCAGCCTGGTCTAGAAAGAGAGTTCCAGGACAGCCAGGGCTGTTACACAGAGATACACTATCTCAAAAAAATAAAATAAATAAAAAGTATAAGATATCATTTGTTTTAGGCATGATCTTACTACGGAGTCCTCACTGGCATGGACCTTACTTGGTTTTTTTTTTTTTTAAAGATTTATTTATTTGTTATGTATACAACATTCCTTCCATGTATTTTTGCATGCCAGAAGAGGGCACCAGATCTCATTATAGATGGCTGTGAGCCACCATGTGGTTGCTGGGAATTGAACTCAGGACCTCTGGAAGAGCAGTCAGTGCTCTTAACCTCTGAGCCATCTCTCCAGCCCTGGCATGGACCTTACTATGTAGACCAAGCTGTCCCCGAACTCCCAAGTGCTGGAATCTGAGGCTTACACAGCCCTCACCCTCTAAGATCCCAATGAAACGGCAGATTCACGAGTCCTTTTAAACCCTTCAGGGGTCATTATTTCACAGAGAGGGGAAGAGGCAATAGCATTTGGTAACAAACAATAAAGGTGGGTGTGAGGGGAGGCGACGGACGGGGCTGAGACGGCAGCAGGAAGAGTCAACAGTCAGTGGTGACAGTGGCCGAGAGCTCTTGGATGCGCCAGGCACTGCAAGCCTTGCACAAGATGTGCCCGTCCAGCGGGTAGCAGCCTTGACACTCACCCTCAGAGGACAGCAGCAGCCCACACTCCTGCAGGGAGAAACAATACCTCCCCATTAGCCCGAGAGCGCTGTGTCTCCCCCTTAGTGCTCTCCCCAAGCATCCCGGGCTCTGCAACGCCCTTGTTCTCATCCAGGGACCCCTCACCTCACACTTGTAACAGCCAATGTGGAAACTTCGGTCCAGAGCAACGATTCTCACCGTCTCCTCCTGACCTGGTTCTGGCATGATGGCCCCACCACACACCGAGCACCGTGGGGCAAATTTCCTGAGGTGGAAGGGAACCATAGGGGCTTTCAGGTCCCTCCCTCTCCACGGGAGGCTCACAGTGGAGCAAGAGAAAGTGGAAAGGGGAGGGAAATGGGAAGGATTGGGAAAGAAAGGGATGTCAAAGAAAGAGAGGACCAGAAGTCACAAAGGAACATGAAGAGACAGGACAGGTCAAACATTCCGAGTCAAGGCTAGACCTGTGGAAATCCTCGATGCAGTGGATCTGGCTGGTGGCGTCCACGGTGAAAGGGATGCCATCGAGGCCACGGTGACACACCACACAGGTGAAGCAACCAGGGTGGTAAGCCTTCCCCATAGCCCTCAGGATTCGGTCCAGGATGGGTTCAGAGCACGTGGAACACTTCTCCAGGGTGGCCTAATAGGAAAGAGGAAGGAAGGTTGGACAGAAGCAGCAGCAACAGCCAGGGAGGCTCACTGGCCACCCACCCATCTGCTGCGCGCAGCTCCCACACAGGATTCGGTGGGAGGTGACCGTGCATCTTTCGGTTCTTATCCCAGCACCGTGGCTTCCAGACAAGGAATTAAGCCTCCACCCACTTCCTTCTCCAGTAGGCTGAGTCACCAGTAATGGCTGCCTCTGAGGAACGCTGTCAGACTTTCACAAATGACCTCAACCCTAAAATGCCTTCCAGCTGGGTATGGGGACTGGTGCACATCTGTTTTCCTAGCTCTCGGGAGGCTGAGGCAGGAGGACCATGACTTCAGGGCCAGCCTGGGCTACACAGTGGAAGGAAGGAAGGAAGGAAGGAAGGAAGGAAGGAAGGAAGGAAGGAAGGAAGGAAGGGAGGGCTCTCAATTGAAACGAGCAGCTGCTCTCCCCACCCCCTTCAACTGGTATCCACATTTAACTCCTTCCTTGGTCTGGGGGCTGAAAGCTCAGTTGGTAAAGTGTTTGCTTAGCAAGCCTGAAGCCCTGGATTCCATCTCCAGCACCCCCTAAAACATCTGGTGGCACATGTCTGGAATCCCCAAACCCCACGGAGAGAGGCAAGAAATTCTTCCTTAGCTATATACATAAGAGTTTCAGGCCAGCCTGGGATACAGGACATATTATCCCAAAGCAATAAACTAGCAATCAAAGAAACAAAACCCAAAACGCTCTTTTGGTGGAAACATGTGCCCCATCTCTCTTAGACAGGAGCCCGCCTGTCCTTCTCGACACTTAGTTCAGCCCCCTCTCCCCAGCCCAACCACTCACCACGTAGCAGCTCTCACAGTAAGCCCTCCTCTCTACAGCGTAGAAATGCTGGCCCCGGAGCTGGGCCCGACAGGTAGAACACACAAAACAACCAATATGGAAGACGCGGTCCAGGGCCACAACCCCAGCTCCATCGCCAACCACATCTTCGCCACAGCCGCCACAGCGACCTGAGGATGGAGAGCCATGAGATCAGTCTGCACAGCTCCACCGTCCCCACCCTCGTCCCACCCTGCCCACCAGGCCAGCTCACCAAAGTACTCCCCACTGGGCGGGTGGCTCATGTCATGCACCAACTTCTTCGTCAGTCTCTCCAGCTCCTCTTCCGGAGGTTGGCTTAAGGGGACCTACAGTGAGAATCAAGGCATTGCGGGGCAGCCTACAGTCTCTGATATCATAACTTATCTGTAAGATCAGGAACCCCGAAATCTCATCTGAGAACATCTCTCAGAAGCTGCTGGGGGTGGTGGGGAGCCCTAGCCCCTTCCCTTTGGCCATCTTGACCCTTAACCTCTGAGTACTGTAAAACCAGGAACGATATATTCATTTATTTATTTCTGCGCAGTGTTCTCATACAGCCTGGGCTGGCCTGGAACTCGTTACACAGCCAAAGATGACCTCAATGTACTACTGATCCTCCCGCCTCTACCTCCACCACGCCTGGTTTATGTGGTGCTGTGGATGGAGCCTTGGGGGCTCCTGCATACCAAGCAAGCACTCTCTACCAACTGAACCATATCCCCAGCCCTAAAACCAGCATCCTAAGCCACCCCCATCCTCCAAGCTGCCCAATCAATGACCACAAACCACAGTGCTCCCTGACCCCCATCCCGGCTTACCTGGGGCCCATGACCGCCTCCTCTTCCTCCTCCTGCAGGGCCATGTATCCCAGCAGCTTCCTCCTTAACCCCTGGTCCTGGCTCACGGTGACCCCTATAGCCAGACCCCCAGACTTCACCACGGCCTGGCAAAGGAAAGTGGGGGCCCGGAAGAGGCCCAGAGGCCTGAGAGGCTCCCCGCCTAGGCAGTCCACAGCCTCTCACAGGTTGAGCCACCTTCACTTGCACGGGGAAAGCAGGGCCAGCCGGAGTGCTGGCGGTAGCATAGGAGGCTGGGGTAGGTCCACCATAAGGGGATGCTGGGAGCATAGGGTTTGGACCCGCACCTCCACTGGGCTTCAGGGAGCCTGCACGGTAAGCATGGGGTGGAGGGGCCTCAAAAGCCTGGGGAGACAAGCAATGCAGAAACAGTGAGTAAGGCCAGATCCACCAAGCCAGGTGGGAGCCCCGGGGAAGCAATGACTTTTGACAAGTTCCCAGGAACAAGGCCTGACAAGAAGGAAGCTCGGGCTTCCTGGAGCCAGGCGTCTGTCTATTAGTTGCGAGGAGGGTGGGTGGGGAGTGGAAAGGGTGATTGAGGAGAGAATCCACAAAAGGGAACTGGCTGGGGACGGGGAAGCAGAAAGAGGACACAGGACACAGACCTGTCGGTCTGGTCGTCGAGGAGGATGGCTGCGACCTCCGTCCAGATCCGCCAACATGCTGGTGAGCGAATCGATCTCAGCATCCAGGCTTCCAGGGCGGATGACGCCCCTGTCTGGCGGGAGCCCCTGAAGACAGAGCCAAAGCAGGGAGAACAAATATAGACCACAACCCCTGGGCTTCTCTCATCTTCACCCCGAGAAAGAGACCCACACACCCTACCCTCACCTCCAAGTCTCACCTGCAGGCGCTGGGGTGCTCCGTGGGATCCCACCCAGGAAGGCCCCCGGTCGTCCGGTACCCCCGGAGGCTGGTAACATTGTTCAGGTGGGAGGGGGCAAAAATTGACCCTGGGGTGGGGCTGGAGTGCTGTAAGAGAGAACAGACGTGGGAATGGAGACGGGGTACCTCCTGAAGGCTGCCCTTTTCGGGGCGCCTCTCCTTCACGTACCTGGGGCGTCTGGGAATGGATAGGAGTCAGGGAAGGTTGCACAAGGATAGGGGCCTCTGGCTTGGGGAAGAGACAGCAGGAAGCAGCCGGGCAGGGAAGAAAAGGCGAAGAAGAGTGGCCGGCCAGTGGCCCTTCCGCCACTCCCGGTGTGAAAGAGAGGAACACTTACTTGCTCCGTGGGCCGGTGGCGGCCCCAGGGCGCCTCGGGGAAGCGCTCTTCCCTGAGGGACTCTGGAGGGCTCTGGCTGCTTCGGGGGAAGCCAGGTGGGTCCCGACATGGTCTGGAATGGTTACTCCACTCCAGACAGAGGTCAGGGCCCCCACAAGCCCGGAGCCCGGAGCCTTGAGCCCCTTTCCTCTCCTTCCGTCCCCCGCCCCGTTTGGGACTCCCGCAAAGAAACTTTTTCTGGCTTTTTTTTCCCCTTCCTCCCCAATTTTGGGGACGACCACGCCCCCTGACGTCACCGCATTCCTGGGGGAGGGTCACGTGGTCCCCTTAAACCCTAATCTGCAATCCCTCCTCTCTCTGGCCCCCTCCTGTTAAGAAAGAACCGCCCTCCTCCGGAGCCAAGCCACAGGGTGGGCTGCAAGCTGCTCAGAGAGGCTGCGGCCCAGCGACTCTCTGTGATCCCTGCCCCGGTTCTGCACGTGGCAGCCTCTTGGCCGGGACTCCAAAGGCTTCTGGTCTCCACCCCCTTCCAGATCTCTGCCTTCCCACCCGCCCCCCTCTCACCTACCCACCAGCAGGGCTCCACCAGCACGTAGTGTTTTGGTCTTTTATTAATGGTCAGTAGTTAGAAAAATAAAACAAAACACAAACATCACCACCCAAGGAAGTCAGGAGAGGGGGGCGGTGCGTCTGTGGCCAGGATGGGGACACTGAGGTAGCCTAGAGTCACAGAAGAGACCAGCCCCTCTGGTCAAGGCACCAATGAAGGAAGCGGAGGCAGGCCAGGGACAGGGCCGCGGTGTCCTCCCATGTACAATGAGGACGGCCACCCGAATTAGTGTACTATGCCCCCCCCCATCCAAAGAAGGCCGTGGTCCCTCTAAAACATCATCCGGAGGGCAGGGTCCATAAGGGGTCCATTGTTGAGAATGGGCCTGGGCCCTCTCTACCCTGTATGAACAGGCATCAGAGATCAGTACAGGTCACCGGAGTGACACCATGAACAAGAAGGGTGGGGCCTAGGTCACGGCTCAGGATTTCCAGCAGCGCCAGGTATCTGGGGTAGCGGGCAGGATCGGCCGGCGGTCGAGGCAGATACAGGAAGGTAAGGGCTGTAGTGGGTCCCTCCGCCCCATCCCTTCCTTCTGGCCCCCCAGGGCCTCCTCCCGTGCCTCGCCCCTGCTGGGCGCGCACCAGACCGTTAGCACTGCAAGCCAGAGCCTCAGCCTCTTCATCTGCTCGACCACCATTCACGAAGTCCCCTTCCTCCTCCTCAGGCTCCCCAGTCTCGGCCCCTTCACCCCACACCACCTCTTGCACCTCTGCCCGGATCCTGAGTTGACTCAACAGAGCCCGCAGCCTTCCCTCCGCTGCCCCAGGAGCCTCCCTAGGCCCCAAGCACAAGAAGATCCTGAGCCGGGCACTGTGCCATGCAGGCACCATGCTTAAGATGGTAGCCATCTGCAACAGGAAAAGGCCACAGACGTCCACGTAGCCGGGCCCACCCCGGGGCCGCAGCAGGTTCAAGGGCCACACGTCCACGTGATGGAGCTGAGCGCTGCTACCGGACCCCCGGCTTAGCCGCTCTGGGGGCAGAGCCCCACAAGCCCGGGCGAGAACCACATTCTTGTTCATCTTGAGAGCATCTGCCACCGTGGCCACGTAGTCCTGGGGACTGAGAGCCCTGGGGCTCCCAGGAGCTCGAGGTGGAGGGAACAGCGTGCTCAGGGCAGGCGACCCGCCCTCTCTGGCACCCTCTGCAGGCTCGGAGAAGGCTGGGTCTGTTAGAAAATGGTCCTGGGGTGGGGCGTCATCATAGAAGCCGAGCACCAACGTGTTGGGCTTCATGCCGCCTAGGGGCGAAAAAAGGGAGGCAGGAAGGAACAGAAATCAGGCTGAGGGTTGAGTTTACACCACATAAAATGCGCCCACTCACACTTAGGTCAGCCATGAGGTATGGCTTCTTACTTGGCTGGGGCCCCCGTACAGCAACATTATACGCCCGTTTGCACAACGATTTGGCGTTCTTAAACACGTTCACATGCATTTGTTTGACTATCTCTAGGAATAATCTCCTCCACTTTAAATATGTAAATTTCACATTAGGATATTTTTTCCTCTGTGGGGGGAATACTGGAGAGTGAACCTGGTGTTTCACCCACACAATCAACCATTGAGCTATGCTCACAGTCCCAGTTCCAAGTGTTGGGATTATACGTGTTCGTCACCACTATCCCGTGAAGTCCATGGAGGGCTGGGATGGACCGTGGGGCTTCCTCACGCATGCTAGGTAAATGCTCCACCACTGAGCTACACAGCCCTAGCTCTGGGTTCTTTTAGGGTTAGGGTTGGTGGTTATCCACCACAGGCTTTAGACAGCTCATCCTTTTCACACTAGGAGAGGCCATTTCATCCAGGCGTGATGGCTCCAGTCTGTAACCCCAGCAACTGGGAAACTGAGGCAGGGGGAGTACTTCAAGTTTGATACCAGTCTGGGCTAACACATTTCAAGTAGCGCAGGCTACAGAGCAAGAGCCTGTCTCAACCAGAAAAAAAACAAACTGACAAAAACCCAGAGATTTGCCAGGGGTTGGTACTGGAGAGGCAGAGGCAGGTGAATCTCTGTGAGTTCGAGGCCAGCCTGGTCTACACAGTGAGCTCCAGTTTAGCCAGGGCTATTTCACAGAGAAAGCCTGTCACAAAAAAAAAAAAAAAAAAAAAAAAAAAAAAAAAAAAAAAAAAAAAAAAAAAAAAAAAAAAAAAAAAAAAAAACCCAGAGATTGAAATTGAACTCTACTGAGGAAATGAGACTTCTGTAGCCCAGGCTGGCTTTGAACTTGCAACCCTCACTGCCTCAGCCTCCACGGTAGCAGAGGAATAAAATCAGCCTGACCCATCAAGTTCATGACATCCCAGATCCCTCCAGGGGAGGATGGGAGTGAGCTGGGCTTGGCAGCTTCCTCCTGCTGCAAAGTTCTAAGGACAGAGGTCTGCAGGCTGGTACCCAAGAGGAGACAGAGAACATCTGGTGTGGTCAGAGGCAAGGCGCTCACCTCCTCTGAACCTAGCAGCCAGCTGTGAGATAAGACTGTTTACTCTCTCCTTCACAGATAAGGAAGGACCTCAGGCCCCACGCCATGAAGTCACTGGCCTAAAGGCTCTGGCCTGAAAGGGCCTGGGTGGAAGGTAAAAATGTCTGTTCTCGCTAAAGGCAGTTCCCTGACCTACCTAACTCAGCTTGGACCAACCTCAGTAACCGAAATCTCTTGTCCTCAAAGTCCCAAGGGTGCAGCAGGAAAAACATGGGCTGCTCAAATTCCGGACCATAGTTGTTGGAGTTTGTTTTGTTTTAGTTTTTTTCGTTGTTTTGGTTTGGTTTTGGTATTTCAAGACAGGGTTTCTTTGTGTAACAGCTTTGGCTGTCCTAGAACTAGCTTTGTAGACCAGGCTGGCTTCAAATTCACAGAGAATTCGAATTCACACCAGGGCCTGGTGTGCAGTCTGCTCTCTGCTAACCTCCTGTGGGTACTCGGCTGTCAGGCTGGTGCTGCAAACACTGTATCAACTGAGCCATCTTACCAGGTTTCCCCACCCCAACACCTCCAGATGGTTTCTCTGTGTAGCCCTGACTGTGCTGGAACTCACGCTGTAGACCAGGCTGGCACTGAACTCACAGAGATCCAACTACCTGTTCCCAAGTGCTGGGATTAAAGGTGTGCACCACCACCGCCGGGCTTTCCACACTATTTTTTAAGACAGGGTCTTACAGAATCTAAAGCTCACTGCCTGGGCCACACCTGCTCCCCCCCCCCCCCCNCCCCCCCCCCCCCCCCCACGGACTATACTCCAGTCTCCACCTTCCCAGTGCTGGAATTCAATGGGCACAGAGGTGCCTGGCCTTTACAACTCGGGTCCTCTGCTTTGCACAGCCATAGCCACACCAGCTATGACTCATCTATGACAGCTCCCTGGCCCCTTTCTTTTGGCGGCATCTTCCTCAGGGTCACTGTCACTAGTACAGTAACCCCTCAAGCGCTCCAGGGGTAAATGGTACTCAGTGAATCCCCAGGCCTGCTAGCAGGAGGGAACAGCTGGGCGTGACCCAGCAAGCCAAACTGACCACCCACCACCCAGAGGTGCTACCGAACCCTGCTTAGCACCAAGCCCTGCGAAGTTCAATATTTGTTGACCTTTAGCCTGCCTGACTGCAGCTGAAGAAGGAGGTGCTTGCTCAGATGACAGACACTGGGATGGAGGTGCCTGGGGGACAAGGCTGCAGGCCTTGCAATATGAGTCCCAGAGCTGGAGCTACGTGGTGGCGCAGGCCTGTAATCCTAGGTGCATAGGAGACTGAGGCAAGAGGATCTCAAATTTGAGGTTCTCCTGAACAACTTAGTGAGACTCTGTCTCAAAAAAAAAAAAAAAAAAAAAATGGTGAGATGTAGCTTAATTGTAAAGTATCACTAGAATCCCCCAGTGAGGGGCTGGGGTGTGGCTCAGTGGTAGAGCCCCTGACTAGAATCCCCCAGTGAGGGGCTGGGGTGTGGCTCAGTGGTAGAGCCCCTGCCTAGAATCCCCTCGTAAGGGCCTGGGGACATGGTTTAGCAGTAGAGCACCTGCCTAACTTAAGCACAAAGCCCTAGCTTCAAACTGTGTGTGTGTGTGTGTGTGTGTGTGTGTGTGTGTGTGTGTGTGTGTGGACAGGAAGAGTCACAGAGCCGGCAACACTCTGTTTTATCCAAAAGCATCACTCCCATATACCCTCAAGTATCCTTGGTAACCTAGGGACCCCGTTCTCCTCCTTCCTGCCACCTTGATTGCCTGTTTGTTGGTGTAGGGTCTGGCGTAAAACGCAGTCTGTCTAGAACCCCTGCCTCAGACTCCCAAAGTGCTAGGACAACAGGCATGAACCATCACCCTGGCTTCCCGACTGCAGAGTCTTTGCAGGCCAGGCTCAGTTAGCATCTCACCACGAAACCTTTGCTGACCACAGCAGTATTCGGGGCTCTCCCCGTCTCTGAATTCCGGTGGTTAACGAGCATCTACTTATCTGCAGTAGCATCTCCCCGGCCTCACTGGGTCTCAGACACTAAGCAAGATTTAGCCCAGTTAGTATTTGGACAATAGAAGTTCCGTTTTAATGGGGCCTTCTAAAGACTCAAAACCATTTTCCCACTCTCCTTGGAAAAATACTCCCCAGAGCCCAAATACTCTCTACTTGTTGCCTCAGAAAAAACAAAGAGCTGAGAATGGTTCTCCGTTTAGGGAGTTCTGTCTGGATGCACAAATCCCTGAGTTCCATCCCCAGCACCCCCTAGAGGGGGCACAGTGCTGCAGGCCTGTGATCCTCAGCTACAGAGGGAATCCTGAGCTCCACTGGACCCGTCTTTGGGAAAAAACAAAACTGGCCAGCAAGACGGATCAGCGGTGCATTTGTGTCTGTGGCCAACCTTGATGACCTGTGTTCAGTCTGTAGCATTCAGATACATATGGAGAGAACCGACTCCTGCAGGCTGTCTCCTGACCTCCACACATGCACGCACATACTCACAAAAATGATTAAGTGTAATTTTGGTTTGTTTTCGTGACAGGGTTTCTCTGTGTAGCCCTGGCTGTCCTAGAACTCATTCTGTAGACCAGGCTGGCCTCGAACTCAGAGATCCACCTGCCTCTGAGATTAAAGGCGTGCACCACCATTGCCCGGCTAAATGTAATTTTTTTTTTTAAAGCCAGCCACCAGCATCATGCCCTGTCTATGCCACATCTCCAATCAGAACATTGTGGCCAGTGTTATCTCTGGCTCCTGTCTTATCTGCCCTGTGTGGCGAGTCCCTTTGGCAGCCACAATCTAGCTGATTCCCTGAAGGAAGGGGCAGAGATGGAAAGGGACCGCTGACGCGGCTGAGGACAGAGAAGAGCAGCTCACCAAGGCCAGAGATCCGTAGTAGATGCTGAGCCCCCTGGCGCACAGAGGGCGACAGCGTGAGATCCACAAAGGCTTTCACTTGGGCACGGTCCACCAGGCTCAGCCATGCGCCATACTGTGGCTGTACAGGGTCTGACGGTAGGGAGTCTGCAGAGAAAGCAAGGAGAGAAGGCGGTGAAGGTACAGAGACACACACCTGACCCCAGTGCTCAGGGGACGGAGGCAGGAGGATGACAGATTCAGGACCAGCTGGCCTGTGCAGAGAGAACCTACCTCATACACACACACACACACACACACATCAAAACAACAACAACAAAAAAGGACTGGCAATCTAGCTCATTAGTGAAGTGTTTTCCCAGCATGTGCACAGTGCTCAGTCCTCAGCAGTTCAAAAGCAGGAGAGAGACAAAGAGGGAGGAGAGACAGGGTGGGGGAGCAGCTATTGGCCAAGGTCATTTACTCTTTACTAGAGCTGGGGCTCTAGTAAAGTATTTCAATGGTAGAGCACTTGCCTAGAATCCCCCAGTGAGGGGCTGAGGTGTGGCTCAGTGGTAGAGCACCTGCCTAGAATCCCCCAGTGAGGGGCTGGGGATGTAGTTCAGCAACACCCGAATTGTTTAAATCATTTACTCTTTCTTAGAGCGCAAAGCCTACCTGAATCTGGACAGAAACATGGGGCATCTGACACAGAAGAAAGGAAGGACAAGGGCGAGAACAGTCACTCACCAAGGTCTCCCAGAGTGACATGGCCCAGCACATAGAGTCCCCCCTTTTTCAGCTGGTTGGCTAGTCGTAGCAGAGGCAGGGCACCCCGAGGGTTTCCCACCAGAAGCAGCAGCTGGGGTCTCCAGAACTTCACGTGCTCCTTGCGGACGTCCAGGCGGAGCAGGTACTTGCGCACCTGGGAAGCAGGAAGAGGTGGGAGGGGGACGGGAAGAGCTCCGCTCAGCAGCTGCCGCTGGGCTCTTCTCAGATAGTAACCCAAGCCCTCAGGGGTGGGAGCTGGAAGCATCCCAAGACTACCTCCCACCCTTCCTCAGGGCTCCCCAACCTGGTGGAAAAGCAAGGCTTGGCTGACATAGCCCCAACTGCTGGGTCCTCCTCGTGCGGTGAGAAGAGCAGAAAGCAGGCCCATGAGAAGGAGGGACCCCCCAGCGGCCCCAGGACTGATGAGGAACATCATCAGGAGGCAGGAGGCCACCCCAAGCAGGCAGGTGTGCCAGGAGAACAGGCTGAAGGTGGGGCTGGGATGGACAGACAGAGGGAAGGAAGAACACTCAGGGCTGGCCCTGAACGCCTACCTGTCCCTTGCTCTAGTCCCCCGTCCTCCCCCTTGAGGCTCCCTCCTTCCTGTTCCTCCTTGCTTTTTGGTTCTCCCAGGCATCGATGTTTCTCACCGGAAGTTGGGGGCTGAAGCCCACTCCAGACTCAGGCAAGACAGGTCCACCGCAGCATAGGCCACCAAGTAGAAGACAGTGACCACGGCAGCCAATGTGTTCAGCTTCCCAGCCAGCAGGACCAGCTGGGAACAGACCAAGAGGTGAGCGTTAATCAAAAGTGCCAATTCCAAGGACCGGCCAGATGGCTCAGTGGATAAAGATGTTTGCTGCTGAGTCCAACAGCCTGAATCAATCCCTGGAATTCACATTCTCGAGAATTGATTCTCCGGAGCTGTCTTCAGACCTCCACACATAGATGTGCACATATACACACTCAAGTCTGAGCAACCATTGCAGACATGTATGAGTTCTAGACCATTCTGGAGTGTGTCTCAAGTTACAGGGCAGCCAGGGCTACATATTGAGATTGTCTCAATATAAATAACAATAAATGCCAGCACAACCCAAAGAGTGCTTTATGTGTCTGTGTGTGTGCGTGTATGTGTGTGCATGTGTGTGTACATGTGTGTGCATATGTGTATGTGTGCATACATGTTTCTGTGTATGCGTGCATGTGTGCCCATGCGTGTGCGCATATGTGTGTGCATGTGCGTGTGTGCATCCGTGTGTACATGTGTCTGTGTGTGCATGTATGTGTGCACATGTGTCTGTGTGTGCATGCATGTGCACATGTGTCTGTGTGCGTACGTGTGCATGTGTGTGCATGTGTCTTTGTGCATGCGTGTGTACATATGTGTGTGTGTGCGCGCGCGTGCATTCATGCGTGTTTGTGTTTTGTTTTTATGCTCTAACTGGCTAGCCTGGCCACACGCTTGTTGCAATCCTTATACCTACTGAGTGTTAAGATAATATGCTTTGATCACCCACTTTATTTATTTTTAGGCTGGGTCTTATCATGCACCTCAGGCTGGCTTCAGTTTCAATCCATTCCCCTACCCCCAAATTTAGACTACAGGTTTGCAACACTAGCTAGCCTATGTCCTTATTTTCATTTAGACCTCTGATCTAGACCTAAGATGGGTTCTAAGTCTGCTAGGTAGACAGTGAAGGTCAGGGCAGCTGAAAGGAAGACTTACCTGCACCAGGCCCCAGGAATACAGGACAGCACCCCAGGGGTTGCCCCCTCCAGAAACCACCTTGGCCGGTGCCAAGATGACTCCTGTTAAAAAAACAAAACAGAATCATACCAGACACATGAGTCTGGGCCTAGAGGGGCCAAAGACAGACCCAGGAGGGCAAGCCCAGAGCAGCACGCAGACCCAGAGGGCACCACACCGAAGAGGTCATCCTGGGCCAGGGCATGCAGAATTCGGGAGGCACCGATGAGAGAACTCATGGAGGCCGAGAGTGCCGTGGCGTAGATGCCGATCAGCACAAGTGGGGGCCACAGGCTGATGCCACGGAAGAACCCGTAATCTTCCTGAAGCAGGGTCCTAAGCCAGGAAGAAAAGAGGAAGGGGTCGTCAGCGAGCCATCATAGGTCCTCATGAGAAAAGGTACTTCTAATGCTGTGTTTCTAGAGCCGTGTCTTAGAGGGAGCCTTGTGATGCTACCACTCAGGATGCAGAGTCAGGAGGATCTGGAGTTCAAGACCAGCCTCAGCTATATAGAAGGAGTTTGAGGCCAGCCTGGGTTATCTGATACCCTGCCTCAAAAACACACAAAAAAAGTTAGGTCCTAGAGCCTGGCAGGATGACTCACACCTATAATCCCAGAATTTGGGAGGCTGAGGCTGGAGGATTGCCATGAGTGTAAGACTATAGGATAAAACCCTGTGAAAGAACTAGTGTAGGCCAGGAAAGATGGTGCACATCTGCGGGAGGGATGAGAGAATCTCTGGCTCAAGGCCAGCCTTGGACGACCTACAAAGGGCTGAAAGATAGCTTAGCAGTGAGGAGAACTTCCTGGTAACCACGAGGATCCGAGTTTGGATCCTAGCACCCATATAATAAGCCAAGCATAGTTGTAGCCCCACAGGAGACAAGGTTCTCTGGGGTGGCAGAGGCAGGCGGATGTCTGTGAGTTTGAGGCCAGGCTGGTCTACAGAGTGAATTCCAGGACTGCCAGGTCTACAAAGTGAGAGACCCTGCCTCAAAAAAGAGTAAGAATGTACTAGAGGATATCTGATACCTCCCTCTAGCCTTGGAGAGGAATGTACACATATTACACACACACACTTTTTAAAAATTTAATACAAAATCAGGTGGTGGCGCACACCTTTAATCCCAGCATTCGAGAGGCAAAGGCAGGTGAATCTCTGTGAGTTCAAGGCCAGCCTGGTCTACAGAGTGAGTTCCAGGACAGTCAAGGCTACACAGAGAAACCCTGTCTCAAAAAATAAGAACTTAATACAAAATAAATCCCCCCTCAGTGACTGCAGCCCTGACATCTAGACAAGTCTGACCTATACCTCAGAGGTGCCCAGATGTGTTCATGGCATCCACCGGTTATCTCTGATCTCCCTGGAGCTCCTCATTCCCAACAGTACACAACCAAGAGGCAAAACATTTATACAAATACAAATGACTAGAAACACAACTAGGGCATGATTGTGCATGCCTGTAACCACACTACTCTGGAAGAACAAGAACGGTGGGGAGACTGCGTGTTCAAGGCCAGCCTTTTCAACATGGAAAGTTCAAGGCCAGCCTGGGCAACATAATAACCTACTCTATCACCCCAAAAAGAAAACACAAACAACAACAACAAAAAAAAACCATCCGTTACTAGAAAGGACCTGCGTTCCCCACCCCCCCCCGCCCCTCCCCCCCTCTCCCCCCACCCCGTTGCCTCTGCAACTCCAAAGTGCTTACAATTCAAGCAGTTGCATGGCAGCTGCTGGTGACAGGCTGACTATAGCTGCATAAGGAGCCCTTCCCCATGGGTGGCACCATCTCTCTCCCAGTGGGGGACAGTATCTCAGCCTCAGTGAGAGTCTGCCGCCTCCCTCCACCACGTACCTGTCACAGGTGAAGCTGGAGAGGAAGAAGAGCAGGATGTAGATGAAGAAGGTGTAGGCGACAGCAATGATTGTGCCCAGTGGAATGGCCCTGCTGGGGTCCTTCAGCTCCCCTGGAGGAACAGGAGCAGAGAGAGAGAGAGGCCAGCCTTCCTATCACACCTATCTCGCTCACGGTGGCAACCTTAACCCCCCACACCCACACACCCACCAAGAGCAGACTCTCACCTGACATGTTGGCCCCAGCCATGATGCCGGTGCAGCCATTGAAGAGGACAGCGAAGACACTGGCAAAAGTCATCATGGCGCCCGTGGTGTAGTCCTCAGCATAACCAGCTGTCGGAGAAGAGTACGTCAGCATTCCTCTCGGGGGTCCAGACATCTCCACCCAGCCATCCCTCCCCTCCACAGCCCTGACTTCCACCCAAGCCTCCTCCCCCATTCTCCTCTGTACTTTCTCGGGCATCTCACGCGTCTCTTCCTCCATCCCAACTCCTATCTGAATTCACCCGCCCAGCTCACAGTACCTGCAGGGCTTGCTCTTGCCTTCCCCAGCCCCAAATCAAGGTCAGGTTCCCCCTTCTCTGCTTAAACCACGCTTAGCCTGTTCCTCCCTGCTTCTCAGGCTGGCCTCAAATCCACTGTGCAGCGGAGGATGAGAACGAGCTTCTGGTCCTCTTGCCTCTACTCCCCGAGTGCTGGGATCACAGCGTGGACCACCACGAGTGGCCGACGTGGTACTGGGTGGAGAACCTGGTGCTTTGTGCGAGCGGGGCTGGTGCTCTACCGACTGAGCTACATCCACAGCTTTTCCTGGGATCTTTGTCTTTAAGGCTTATTTGTATGTTTTATTATAAGTATGGGGGAGGGGTTATGCCATGTGTGTGCAGGTGCCCACAGGGGCCACAGAAAGTGTCAGTACCCCTTGAAGCTGGTGCTGTGAACTGCCTGACCTGGGTGCTGGGCACTCCTAACCACGGAAGCATCTCCCCAGCCACACCTCCAGGGATCCCAAGGCCCACCCATCACTCAAGCCACCCCCACACTCCCCCACACACCCCCGGCACTGGCGTGTTCATCTCACCGCCCAAGTTGTCCTTTAGGGTGCTGCCGTTGAACCCAGTGAAGTGGCCATACCGGGGTGGTACAGAGGAACCGTTGGTGCCCGGTCGGGGTGCTAACTGGATGTCCCGGGGTCCCACCGCCACAAAGCTGATCAGCACGGAGGCCAGGGAGCCAGAAACCAACAGGAATGTCAGAAAGGAGGCCCGGGCGTAGAGTCCAGCTCCCAGTGTGCACACGCCACCCACGAGGCCAAGCAGCAGAGAGCCGTAGAGCAGATTCCAGCCATAACCCTGGGGTAGAACCCGGATCCCACTGGAGCCTGTGACATCTGGAAAAAAAGCTGGACTGAGATAAAAGACCAGACCCCCAAGGAGACACCCAGCCCTAACTATGACCCCCTCCACCCACCTGCTACTAGAGACCTCATTTATCTTGTATCCCTTTCAGGGTAATCCCGGCATCTATGCTCTCCCCCTGTGGATACCAATCTTGCTATGGCAATTTCTAGAACATTAGAATATTCTGTCTGACTAGAACCAGGCATGTCCAATCTTCTGACTTTGCAACATGACACTGTCATTAGCAAATCCTTCTCAGGAACCTCCTCTCCCCACAATTTTTTTTTTAAATCTCATAAAGGGACAAACAAAGATAGCCGGGCGGTGGTGGTGCACACCTTTAACCCCAGCACTCAGAAGATAGAGGACGGAGGATCTCTGTGAGTTCAAGGCAGCCTGGTCTATAAGAGCTAGTTCCAGGACAGGTCACAAAGCTACAGAGAAACCCTGTCTCTAAAAACAAAACAAAACAAAACAAAGACAAAGATGGTTCAGGAGGTAAACAAACCCACTGCCAAGTCAGACAAACTGAGCTCACTCCCCTAGAACCCGCATGGTAGAAGAAAAAGTTCCTACAAGTTGTCTTCTGACCTCCCGCAGCAGGCTGCATGGCATTGCCTGCTATACAGAGAGAGAGAGAGAGAGAGAGAGAGAGAGAGAGAGAGAGAGAGAGAGAGAGAGAGAGAGAGAGAGCTGGATCTGTAGCTCAGTTGGAAGTGTTTGCTTAGCATACATAAAGGCCTGGGTTTCGTTCCCAGCCCACACAAAACCAGGCATGGCGGCACATGCCTGTAACTATTGGGGAGGTGGAGGCAGGACAGTCTGGAGTTCAAGGTTATCTCCAGGACAATCTGGGATACATGAGGTTTTTTATTTAAAAAAAAAAATTAATCAATAAAAGGAGGGAAACGGCTCAGTTGGTAAAGTGCCTGCCATGTTCTTGGCTGTTAACCTGACTACAACTGGATTTGACTGGGCACACCTGTGAGGAATTTTTTTTATTAATTAAATTATTAGGAGGAAGAACCCGCTTCTAATCTTTGAAGTGGGAAGGTAAACCTTTAATCTGGACCACACCTTCTGCTGGCAGCCTATAAAAGGACCAGGAAGAAGGGCGCTCTTTCTCTGTGTCTGCTTGTTCTTACCTTGCTAGCAAGTCCACTCCTTCCCTGGCACTGGAGCCTGCTTCTTTGGGATTCTGGCTTCTACAGAAAACCAGCGGAGACATCCAGCCTACAGACTGAACAACTACTAGCTTTTGGACCTTCCATTCATAGACAGCTATTGTTGGATTAGCAGAACTACTGCCTGTAAATCAGTCTAATAAATCCCCAGATAGAGAGATTATATACTCTAGACCCGGGCAAATACAGATTTGGGTACCAGAAGTGGTTCTAAAGCATCCAGTAAGCAGCACTCCTCCAAGGCCCCTCCATCAGCTCCTGCCCAGGTTCCTGCCCTATTTGAGTTCCTGTCCCAATTTCATTCAGTGACAGACCACAGTGTGGAAGCAGAAAAGTCAAAGTGTAACCCTTTCCATCCCAAGCTGCTCTGGTCACGGTGTTTCATCACAGCAATGGTAACCCTAGCTAAGATGCCGTGCAAGCGTGAAAACCTGAATTTAGATCCCTAACACTCATGCAAATGCCAGGCTCAATGGCAAGTATCTGTCAGTTACTTCAGCAGTGCTGGTTGGGCAAAGCCAGGCAGGGCCTTGGAGCTAACTGGCTAGGCGGTGCAGTCAATGGAGCATGCCTGGCTTTTTGGAGATATTTCTTGCTTTTCCTTAATAAATCTAACTTCACTGTGCACCAAAAAATAAGACAGGCAAGATGGCTCAGTGGGTAAACAATGTTGCTGAGCAAGTCTGGGGACCTGAGTTTGGTCCCCCGAAATAGCACAGAGGTGGAAGGAGAGAACCAGCTCCACAAAGGTGTCTATGACCCCCACGCTCAAACCATAATAGGTGTGTGTCCTCCTGACACACGCACAACAATGAAACAATGAATGAATCCTCGCACCAGGTAAAGAGCAGTAGAGGAAGACAGAGAACATTGACCTTCGGCCTCCACATAGGCATGCTCACGTAGGCTCACCCACACAGACACGTTTACACATCACACATGTACACCCCATACTCGCCACTCCCCCTCCACAAAAGAAAAGAAAAAGACATGCATATCTAAAAAGAATCTAATGTTGTACGTAAGCTTAAAATTTTGTGTTGGGAGCATTTATAGCTATCCTTGGCCACATGCGGTCACATGCGGCCAGAGGGCTGCAGGCTGGACATGCCTGGAGATGGTGAGAGCCCTGGGGACCGAGACGAGGACTCGGCCGCCTACAGGTGCTGCAGAAGGCAGGCCACACAAAGAGAAGACTCAGTGTGTGCATCTTGGGAAACATGGCTCCGTAATTCCAGACCCTGGAAAACTCAGCATCCCCCCAGACCAGGACAGGGAGAGTACAGACCAGCCCCGAAGACATCCAGCACAGACTCCACCAGTCCCAGCAGGGACACGGCACAGCCGCAGACGTTAGCCAGGTAGAACATGAGGCCAATGCTGCCGCCAACCTCGGGCCCCAGGGTCCTGCTGATCATGACTAAAAGTGGAAGCGAGGGGTTGAGCGTTAAGGGAAAAGAAACCGAAATGGAGGAAGGGGCCATAAGTTGATCCTCTCAGCTTCACCCGCAGGTTTCCTGCTCAGTTCTCAGCAACCCTGTACCCATGTCTTGTATCTTTGCGTAAATGACAAGAATACACAATCTTCTCCATTTTCCTATTCCTGCCAGGCAAGTTCTCTCCCCTGAGCTATTTACCCTGTTCTCTTTTTTTTTTTTTTTTTAGACAGGGTTTCTCTGTGGCTTTGGAGCCTGTCCTGGAACTAGCTCTGTAGACCAGGCTGGTCTCGAACTCACAGAGATCCGCCTGCCTCTGCCTCTCTGCCTCCCGAGTGCTGGGATTAAAGGCGTGTGCCACCATCGCCCGGCCCCCTGTTCTCTTTTTACCCATTATTTTGTCTTGTTTTTTGGGACAGGGTCTCAAGTAGCCCAATCTGGCTTCCAGCTCACATTGTATCCTAGAATAACCTCAAACTCCTCGTCCTCCTGCCTTCTTCTCCCCAGTGCTAGGATTAGGGGCACGGTGATGCACGCCCACTCTTTTTACTTTGAGGCAAGGTCTCCATTAGTGGCCCGGGCTGGCCTTAAATTAGCTCTGCAGCCCAGGATGGTCAAGAACTTTTAATCCTCCTGCTCCCATCTCCCAGGTACGCAGGGTGACAGGCCTGCATTTCCACACCCGGAATCCACTTTCCTTGGCTGTAGAGTGACTATTAATGGTTTTTGTTGTTGTTATTGTTAGAGCGGAGCAGGATTGGGGATCAAACCCTGGACCTCGGGCATGCCAGGCAGGCACTCTACCACTGAGCCACAGCCTCCGCTAACTGATAAGATTGTCAGGAGACCAGACAGTGCAGATCACCTTCATCATCTCATCCTGTGTTCACCATTCATAAACATGTGGCCTGTTTTCAGACAGGAGATACTGCTCCCCCCCCCCCACATACACACACCTGGGAAGACAGAACAACCCAGACCCAATTCACCTAAGTGGGAGGATACAGTAGGCTCCGCCCCCTCTCACAGCGCCATTGGTGGCAATGGCACAGACCGAGAGGACCGTGAGTGCCAGAATGATGTAGGCGACCAGGAGCATGGCCATGGCCTGTAGCAGCCCAGCGTGGCCCACCACGAAGCCTGAAGCGGGGAGAAAAGCAGGTCACATGGGAAAGTTACAGCCTCTTCCCCTACCCCGTCTCACTGGGTAGTAGAGTCCCACAGCAGAGCCACAACACCAGACCACCGGAGGTCTTTCCCTTCTGTCCTCCCTCCATCTGTCCACATCAACTAGGGACCGTCCCTAGCCCGAGCCTGGCCTGTCCCCAGACTCACCAATCCTCAGGAACACAACGATACTAAACATGGACAGGACGGTGGGCACCACCACACCCAGGAAGGTGGAGAGCTTTCGGGCTGATGCCACTCCAGATCCTCCGGCTCCATTGGGAGGGAAAGCAGCTCCCTCTTCCCCCAGAAGCCTGTAGGCCAGCAGAGGGGAGCTCTCGCTGGCCATAGCTGAGCGTGGGCAGAGGAAGCCACAAAAGAGCCAGGTGACCTGTAAAAGAGGTTTGGGGGGCTGGAAAGCAATTTCCACAGAACCGTTTCCTCCCAAACAAAACCCTGATCAAACACGCAGAGCTTCCTCAAAAGAAGAGTTGCAGTTGCAAAGGACACACACCCACACACACCCACTCAAAAGTGTCCCAGCAACTTCCCCTATACTCTCCGACCCCGGGGTATAAGTAATCAGGGCCCCTTTCAGCTCTTTGAAACGGTACGTTCCTCTATGCCCCTAAAACTAGAGGTAGCAGATCTGCAAAAGGAACACCGGTTTCTCCCTATCACACCGGGTCTCTTCTTAACTGGCAACAAGAGAGGAAGGAGATCTCCCCAAAGGGAAGTTAGCGACAAGCTGTAAGCACCAACTCCGGAGTCCTAAGCTGCACTCCTCGAGTACCTCCCCCTCGGTACAGCATCTCACACTTAGGCAATAAGAAACTTTCAAAGCTCCACCCTCCATCAACCTTGTCTCTCAACCCATTTCAATCGCAACCAGATTTTTCTAATCCCTACGAGAGCCACCCCCCCCCCCCCCCCCCCCCCCCCCCCCCCCCCCCCCCCCCCCCCCCCGCCCAACTCTATCAGTCCGAACAGAGCCACCGATTGTCCAAACACGCACGCAGGCCACCTGGCATCTCGCCACACGGGGTCCCCAGGGTCCTCCTCCCCCGCCCACCCGTTCTTGTCCACTTGCTCCAGTAACTGGATGCCTTAGGGGCCAGAGATCTGGCTGCGGCCGGCCAAGCGCACCCTGCCGCTGGATGCGGCAGGGTGCTCACTCACCACCCTACGGACGCAGCTGCTCCGGGGTGATCCCCGCGCGCCTGGGGGGCTCCGCTACGCGCGGAGGAGGGGGCAAGGGGCCCGGAAAAGGCAAACGGGCTACCGGGATGTCAGGCCCGGAGCCTGCCCTCCCCAGTAAGGCGTCCCATTGGTCCCGGATCAAGCCCCGCCCCAAAGGCGTGGCCCACGCACAAGCCCCGCCTGCACTCTGCCAAGCTGCTTGTGCCAGCCAAATTGCTCCACGTGCATCCCGGGTGTCATCCGCAAGGTAGTGGGGGACGATCCCCAGAGTCCCCCGTTACCACGATGCTAACGGATGCCCGAAGTGCGCATCCGACTCCACTCCGAGCTCCGAGGACCGTGTGGCGACTGCGGAAAAGTGGCCTGGAGTGGGCGGAACCGCGGCACCTGACTCAGGTGTGCGGCGGGGAACTGCGAGCGACGTCGGTCGGCGCCTTCCGGAGTCGTACCAGTCCAGTCTCTCCCGAGACCTAGAATGTCCTCGGGGTTCCAGCCTCGTCCCTTTCGGACCCGGAGAAGACCCTCTCTCCTCGCCCAGTTTCAGCCCGCGGGCTGCGCTCTTCTTTTCGGCCACCGGAGGGAGCCGTGAGCCCCCATCCAGGCGCAGGTCCTAGTGAATAAGCTGCCCTGCCTGCTTTTGTGGCTGTCGGCGAAGATCGTAAAACTGTTAACCCCCAACTCTCAAATTGGTGTCCCTTCCTCAGCCCTTACGGGTCTCACTAACGGCCTTTCCTCTTCTATAAAACGGGACTTAACTAAAACATCCCTCCTAAAAGAGCAGTTGAGAGATGAGCTAATCGTGTAAACGCCTTTTCTTTTCTTTTTTCTTTTTTCTTTTTTCTTTTTTTTGTGGGCGTGGGGAAGGGAGCCCTTATGTAGACCGGGCTAGTCCTCTCAGTTCGCTACGTAGCTAAGGAGGACTTTATGCTTCTGATCTCCCTACCTCCACCTCCCCTGTGTTGGGGTTCCAGGTAAGGAACACATCCTGATGCTAATAGTTTATTTTCTAAAAGAGCACCGCCGCCCCCATTAAACACCCCCCCAGGCACAGCGAGAGCTATAGCACTCGACCACACACACCTTAACATACTCTTTAAGCCAATGCATGCATGTTCACTGATGTCCCCCTATTGTTAAATAGACATAACCGTTCTGTGAGCCCTGCTGCTGCTGCTGCTGCTGCTGCTGTGGGTTTTTTGTTTTTTACTTTTTGTTTTCTGTTGGGGTTTTTTTTGGTTTTGTTTGTTTTTTGGTTTTTTGAGACAGGGTTTCTCTGTAGCTTTTGGAGCCTGTCCTGGAACTCACTCTGTAGATGACACTGGCTGGCCTCTAACTCACAGAGATCTGCCTTGGAGAGACCTATCATAAGAAAGAAAAGGGAAAGTGACTGAGAAACCTCTAGTATTGACCTCTGGCTTCCCATATGCATGAGCATAGGTGGACACACTCACACAGGGTGGCTCTGCCACGGAGAAATTTGGCATTTCCGGAGTCATCTCTGCTACCCGTGTTTCAGTCATAATTTTTGGAGATTTTGTGTAATTTCTAAAAGCTAGGATGTGGTCCCTCCAGTCTGCACATGTACTCCAGTAAAAAAAAAATTAAAAATTGTGCTCTAGACACACCCCTGCCCGGTTGTGTGGTGGAGACAGACAGGCTCCTAAGTGACCTTGGCTGGCTGCAGAGCTGAAGAGGACCTTCCTGCCTCCACTTCCAAAGTGCTAGGATTATAGGTATTTCACCATCATGCCTGCCTTATTCTTTCTTGGTTATAGTTTTTGTCTTTTGTTTTGTTTCAAGACAGGGTTTGTCTGTGTAGTTCTGGCTGCCCTGGGACGCGCTTCGTAGACCAGGCTGGCCTTGAATCCAGAGCTCTGTCTGCCTCTGCCTCCCGAGTGCTGGGATGAAAAGTAGGCACAAAACACCACACCCAAATGCTCTTGTTCATGTTTTAAGTGTGGTTTTGTTTGTTTTTGAGACGGGGTCATGAAGCCCAGGCTGGTCTTGAACTCCTGACCCCCCTGCCCACACTCACTCAGAGGTATGAGTGCCACATGTATACAGCACTAAGGTGTATGCTCAGCCTGGACTCTACGCTTCGCTTCAGACTGTAAGTCCCACAATTTCCCCATGAAATGTCTTCAGTAAGCCACCCAGAATCAGCTCCAATGTTGGACAGCCCATCAGGGCAGAATCAGGATCCTTTCATAAAGAGCCCCTCTCCCTCATCTCTGTCTACATAGTCAGTTCGAAGCCAGCCTCATCTACACTAGAGCCTCTTTCAAAGCATCAAGGAGGAGAGGAAAGGGGGGAGGAGCCTTCACCCTCCAGCTTCATAATCTTTTTGTAAGACAGGGTCTCACTAGGTAGCCCCCGGCTGGCCTAGACTCACTCGGTAGACCTGGCTGTCCTTGAACTCTTAGAGATCCACCTGCCTCGGCCTCCGGAGTGTTGGGATTAAAGGAGTACAGCATCACATCTGGTTATTATCTTCACTGTAATTGACTTCACAATCCTGCGGAAGCCCACAGCTGGGCAATCTGATGAGTCTCCCAGGAGCTTTGCTGGAGATATCACTTCCCGTGGGTTACGTGGGTTACGATAAGGGCTGCCTTTGTAACAAGCGAAGATGCTTCTCTTGGGCTAGCAAATATCCTAAGGGTGGCTGGAACTAGATGAGAAGTCTTGGCCTCTATATTCGGTTTCTTTTCACATTACTGTAGCAAAGGCAACCTAAGAAAGAAGAGTTTGTTTTGGCTGGCAACGGAGAGGCAGATGGAGCGAGGAGGCTGCTGGGTCACGTGGCGTGGCATCCACCGTCAGGAAGCAGAGCGCAATGAACGCTGCTCTTCTGCGCTCTGCTCGCTCCTTTTCATTCAGTCTCCAGTACGTTTTGCCAGGCTACAGTGTGAGTGTGTCTCCCCACCAAAGCCCTCATGAACCTCCCCAGGGGTTGTTTATCTCTTTGGTGACTCTAGATCCCATAAGTTGGCGATGACGATGAGCTGGAACAGCACTGGTCTCATCCTGCTTCTGTCTGCTTTGCTGCCTTTAACCTTTGGGCCGAAATCCTGCTCACATACAGACCCGCTGGTGAGTTGAGAAATATTTTGTCTAGGGTGGGAGAAATAGCTCAGCTATTAAGGGTACTTGTTGCTTTTGCTGAGGACCCAGGCTCGGTTCCCAGCACCCACATGATGGCTCAAACTCCAGTTCCAGGGGACCTGATGCCTTCTGGCCTCTTTGGGCAACATGCATGCACATGGTGCACATTCATACATACTGGCAGGCAAAACACTCATATAGAGTAAATAAATAAATCTAAAAAACCTTTTTTTTCCTTTTTGGTTGTTTGAGACAGTGTTTCTCTGTAGCTTTGGATGAAAAGAACTTTTTAAAAAGAGAATGCTTTCTCCAAGGCTACAACACAGGGTTAATCTAGTTACTTAGTCTCTTTCTTCCCCTTTCACAATTAAGACACTCCCACTATCCTCAAACTGGGCACGGTGGCTCCTCTTAGCACTGACCATGGCAGAGGCGGATGGACCTCAAGTTCAAGGACAGCCTGGCTCCAATAAGTAAATAGAAGCCATGCCTTTAGGCTGCAGCTATAGAAACCCTCTGACTCCCCCAGTCCACAGTAAGCAGCTCTTGCCAAGGGCTTGCTCGTCACGTGACTGCACAGGCCACGCCCTCAGGGAAGGGACTATGGCAGCGCCCAGGATGGCTTCAGAAAGCGGGCAATCAACGAGAGGACGCTGATGCGCCAGAGCGTCCACACCGGCGTCGTTTCTGCAGTTGCATGCTGGGAAGGCGGGAACTCTGGGTCTATGCACTGGACCTCCTCCCGGTTTTTAAAAGAGAGGGAAGGAAAAAAAAAAAAAAGCAAAACACCTAAACCCGAGAGACAGCATGGTCTGACCTACCTGCGACCTCCCCACTTCTTGAGGACCCCAGGACCCAAGGCAGAAGGATGAACTTGTGGCATTCAATAACTTTTTTTCCCCCAAACCCTTTGTGTCAACCCCTTGCCAACTTATTGAGTGACCTCGGTGTCAGCCCAGCCTCTCCTTCCCAAACACACACACATAATCTGTTCTTTCCTCTGCGGATCAGGAAGTCCAATCAACCAGGGAACTCCGAACGAGACCTCAAATAATAATTTCCTGGCGATACCCCCATCCTCCCTCCCTCCCAGCGTGAGCTCCCCAGAGTCTGGTGATTCTGTCCCTCCCCCCTCCACCACGACCCTGTCAGGTCCCTAGAGCAGATGAGCCCTTGGCCACCACCCCTCCAATTTCCTGAAAACCCAGCAAACAAAAGGCTCGGGAAGGGAGGCGAAGCTGAGCAGGGCGCCCTTCCTGCAGGACAGCTGATGGAGCAAAAAAAAAAAAAAAAAAGTCCAGGAGAGATGACATTCCAGGGCTCCTCCAGGGATCCAGGGCTCCTTCCAGGTCCTGGGGAGCAGAGAGCGCATCAAGGGAACTGGACTAAAAGGGACTGGGGACACCTGAACTTGCAAGCTGCCTTGGTGGGGTGATGTCAACCTTAGGGAATGGAGGGGGTGGGGGCAATCTTGGGGTTCAGGTGTGCTATTTGGCCCCCAGGCGTGAATAGTGGGAGCTGGGAGACGCCTGAAGCCCTGCGTCATCTCCTCTGGGACCCAGGCTACCTCCCCCTGGCCCGGCCTGCTACCCTCTGTGGTGGCCCCACCCGGGGCCTGGCTTCCTGCTCCTCCCCAACACAGATCTTACCCTGCCAAGTGACCTAGCCTGCTCTGGTAACCTGGGCCCTAACCACTGTTAGTTTTCTTAGTCTGAACTAGAACTAGTCTCCAGCCTGCTCCTGCCCCCGCCCCCTTTCCCAGCGGGAACACAATGACGAGGGAAAGAGCAGTCTAATGGTTGGGGCTCGAGACACTGGCATGGAAGGTTGGGGGGCTTGGCCTCACATCCTGTCAGGCTGCCAAGGGAAGAGAGGAAACAAAAGACTTCCCCTTACCGGGACAATGAGCCTCCCACTAATTCTCCTCCACCCTCCCACGCTCCACCTTTCCACCCCCCTCCCCGCCCCCCCCCCCGTCCTCCAGCTTCCCTCCTCTTCTCCGTGCTCCCTCCCCCACCCCAGCAAGCTCTACCCTACCCCTTTCTCCTCCTCCACTAGGTCCCAACTGGTCGGGTTCTCTACTTGCTGACATCCCAACAGCATTCCGGGGGCCCTCTTCTTGACAAGGTTGAAGGCAAGGTGGAGAGGCACCCCTGTAGTAGTAAGGGGTGAACGGCCCCACCTTGCCTCTCTTTTTTATTTTATTTATGTATTTACTTTTTATTTTTTGTTTTCCGAGACAGGGTTTCTCTGTGTAGCCCTGGCTGTCCTGGATCTCACTCTGTAGACCAGGTTGGCATCAAACTCACAGAGATCCGCCCGCCTCTGCCTTCTGAGTGCTGGGATTAAAGGTGTGCACCACCACCGCCCAGCTTAACCAGCCCCTATTAATAGTGAATGTCAAGTATGAGCTTGGGGCTAGGAATGTGGCTCGGTTTGCTGACTGCTTACCCAGGCACCCGAAAAGCCCGGCTTTTCCCTACCATTGCATAAACCAGCAGGGTGGTACTTGCCTATAATCCCAGTCCTGGGAGGAAAGAGGATCCAGAGTTCAAGGTCATCCTCAAACATAAAGAGTAAAGGAGTTGGATGCCAGCCTGGGCTACATAGTGCCGGTTTCAAAAAGAGAAATGGACAAGAAAAGATCCTGCTGCCTCTGCAGAAGAATGACACCCTCAACCTGGGCAGGCTTTTGTCAGCCAGTGACTGCGTGGCCAAGGAGGGAAGGCTGAAGGAGCTATCTGGTACTTGAGGTGGCATGGGGTGGTCCATCTCTATGTTGACCCCAGTGGAAGAAAGAAACAGTGGGTCAGCAGATCTGGTGGGCCTTTGACAGGTCACCGAACCTTCTTTTTAAACTTTAGTGTCTGTGTGCACGCACACACTCATGTGCACACGCACATGCAATCTTGAACCTGTGCCATGGCTTATGAATAAAAGATCATAGGAAAACTTGTGGGAACCGGTTCTCTCCTTCCACCATGTGGGGTCTGGGGAATCAAGCTCAAGTCTTCAAGATTGGTGGTGAGCAGCGGGGGGGGAGGGGGGGCGGTGGTGGCGCACCCCTTTAATCCCAGCGCTCGGGAGGTAGAGGCAGGAGGATCTCTGTGATTTCGAGGCCAGACTGGTCTATAGAGTGAGTTCCAGGCCAGCCAGTGCTGCTTCACAGAGAAACCCTGTCTTGGGGGAAAAAAGAAAGAGAAGAAGAAAGTTCTGAGCTGACAAATGGGCGCTGGGATCCCCTGAAAGAGCAGCCAGTAGCCAGTGCTCTCAACCACCAAGCCAGCTCTCCAGTCCCAATCTGTATTCCTTTAAGTGTGCTCACGTGTCTCTCAAATGGGTCTCTCAGCCTGTAAAAGGGTTAGTATTATGTTATCCATATATAATGGACCCTTTAGCAACAACAATGTGAAGTCCTGAACCGCCACCCCCCAGTGAAAAGTACAGCTATGGAGATAACCTCAGTGAAGCCCGAAAACCTTTAGTGTCTGATCCGAGCAGGTGATCATAGAACTCAGACACTAAGAAGATACTATGAACCAAAGAGATGGCTCAGTGGTGAAGAGAGCCTCCTGCCCTTGCCAGGAACCTGGGTTTGGTTTCCAGCACCCACATGATAGCTCACAGCCATCTGTAACTCCAGTAACAGGAGATTCAGTGACCTTTCCTGGCTGCTACAGAAAATGGGCGCACAGATAAACATGCTCATGGTGATTAGAAGTGTTAGATCCCCTGGAACTGGACTGAGACATGAGGTCTCTCCAGCCTCATAACCTTTCTCTGAAAAAATATACTGAGCTGGGCAGTGGTGGTGCACACCTTTAAGCCCAGCACTCGGGGATGCAGAGCCAGGTGGATCTCCGAGTTAGAGGTCAGCCTGGTCTACAGAGCAAATTCCAGGACAGCTGGGGCTACTGAGAAAACCCCTGTCTTGATCAACCAAAGCATGGTGGTCCATGTCTCGCACTCAGGAGGCAAAGGGAAGCAGATCTATCTACATCATCGTGAGCTCCAGGCCAGTCAGAGCTGCATAGTGAGACCCTGTCTCAAAAACTGTTTTTAAAAAGGAAATGGTTGGCGAGGGCTAATACAGCTTGATAAGATTTTACACAGCATAGGTGGAGATACTAACTTATTTAGTTCTTTGTGGTGTTATTTATCTTTGAGTTCTACAACGTTTTTGTTACCTGGGCCTCTGATAAGCTTGGAGGGGCCAACTGGAGATGTTTAGTTTGGCCTAGGACCAAAGGTTGGCCAGCATTTGTTCCCTTTCGGCTAACCCTGTATTCCTTAGGACTACACGTGGTATTGCAGTCAGAGCCAGTGTCTCCCCGTAGGCCACATCTGGCTGCTGAGGGGGCTCCTGTCTGGACAAACAATCTCAACATGACCCTCACCCGAAGAAATGTACTTAGTGCCCTCAGGAGAACTGCCCATTCCTAGCTGAAGTTTAATCCCTTTAACCTGCATTGTTTTCGGTCTCTATCTGCCAACTGATGTTTAATTGCCTCTCACACTCCGGAGGCCGCCAGGAACCGGGCACACCTGCTTCCAGCATCCGCCCAAGCCCGATAGCATTAGAAGACCAATAAATCCACAATTTCACACGATCTTCAGTTACAGCGGGCGAGGGCATCATCGATGCGGTTGCTGTTGCTCCCGAGCACTCCATTAGGGAAGTGGCGGGGAAACCTCCTTCCCCCACCGTACAGTAGAAATCAACTGGACCTGTGTTTTGTATTTTTTTTTCCACACCTATGGTAAACTGCCAGTTAGGTCCCAAGGCCGTAGCAAGATCTACCAGCGCACATTTGGTTCTCTGCCAATTGGCCCCCCACAGACTCCAGTTCAATGCAAATCTACCCACATTTGCCTCCTAGTGACAGAGAGAGGTTCCCTGTTTGGCTTGTTTTCTTTTCATCTGTTTTTACTTGTTTTAGCACCTTGTGGACCTGGGTCACACAACAGACTAAGCCATTTATGTTTGTTGACACCTTTTCTACCTCTTAGGGATTGTGTCCCTGTGGTGCTCAGGAGGGCCAATAAAGCCCCCTGCCAGCCATTCAGTTGCTCAGCTCGCTTTCCTTTCTCTCTCTCTCTCTCTCTCTCTCTCTCTCTCTCTCTCTCCCCTTGCTACCTTCCACCTTTTTTTTTTTTTTTTTTTTTTTTTTGGACAGGGTTTCTCTGTGTAGTCCTGGCTGTCCTGGAACTTGCTCTGTAGACCAGGCTGGCCTTAAACTCAGAGATCTCTGTCTCAGAAGGGCATGTGTGGTTGTCTCATCCCCTTCTCTGCTCCTGTTTCCCTTCGAGGCTCTTTCATTGCTGGTTTAAAAGTCTTCTCTAATTCTAGAAGTTTCTGTGACTACTTTCGATGTGTTGTGTTCCAGAAGGTTTGCTGTGAGCAGGACAGCAGTGTGGCGACTGTCACGTGCTTCTTGAAGTTTCAATAAGTTGGAAAAGAACCACCAACTGCAATTTTTAAAAGATGTATTTATTTATTTGGTTTTTTTGAGACAGGGTTTCTCTGTAGTTTTGGAGCCTGTCCTGGAACTAGTAAAAGATGCATTTATTTTTATTTTGTGTGTATGGGTGTTTTGACTACACAAACATCTGTGTACCATGTGCATGCAGTGCCCAAGGAAGCCAGAAGAGGGCATCAGTTCCCTGGGAACTGGAGTTACAGACAGTTGTGAGCTGCCATATGGGTGCTGGGAATTGAACCTGGGTCCTCTGGAAGACACTGCTCTTAACTGCTCTGCCATTTCTCTAGTCCCACAAATGATTTTTAATTATGATTTTACTTTTGTGTTATATGTGTGTATATGTTCCCATGTGTGTGCAGGTGCCTAAGAAGTCAGAAGAGACCTTGGGATCCCCTGGAGCTAGATAGAGTTCTAGGCAGTTGTGAACTGTGCCAGGTGGGGGTGCAGGGACCCAACTTCTGGTCCTGGCCAAGAGCAGCAAGCACTTGTAATAACCGAGCCATCTCTCCAGCCCATATCTCATGCTGTCTAGAAAAGCGGCATTTATTATAAACGCTCCCATGGATCTCTCTGAGATGCTCTCGTGATTTTTGTTTCGTTTGTTCTGCTGTTGGTTGTACCAGCAATAGGACTCAGCCCTGTGTCTGCTAAGCATTTGCCCTGTTACTGAGCCACATCACCAGCTGTCTAGGTGATGCTGATACTTCCATTTCCTCCTCTCGGCTTGTTTCCTGTGAGATGTGTGCTTTTTGCT